ACCAAACATTAATGAAGATCTTCGTGTCTTTAGGGACGGTGTAACCTCCCACCACGGCGGTTTCAACTGGACGGTGAGGGACTAACAAATGAATGGTTGGGTAAAGCCTAAGTGTTTCTAGATCTTTCATAATGGCTAATATGTGAGGAAGTCTAGTGATGTGAGATTCTTCAACAATGTTGTCTCTTCCTACAACTTCATCTAGCTCTTGTTGAGCTCTCTTCACCACCTCCGGTTTGCTTATTAGCTCGGCCATCGCAAACTCTATCGTGTTCGTTGATGTATCCGTACCACCAACCACCATATCCTAATTCACATATACATAACAAACATTTTGATCAAATCACTATCATGAACGAATTATCATCTATTGTATGTTATTTTTTTTTTTTAGAATATCTCAGAATAATCTACATAACCAAATACCATTTTGCAATACTAATGCCGACATTAATTCGGAAACCATTGCAATACTACCAATGGGGGCCTATATTACCTTTTTGTTGATTAGAGATTTTATGATTTGCCGAATGTTTTTAACTTTTTATATTCTAAGACTATGAAACTAAAGCCAGATTAATTACCGCGAGTATGGCTTTGACATGGTTAACCGTAATGGGAATCTCGGAATCGACTTCTTCGTCCTTTAACTTCATCAAATGTTGCAAAAAGTCTTTGCATTCACCATCATCCGTACTTCTTAGGTTTTGCATATTGTAGAAGAAGATATTGAACTGACTTGTGTATATGAGACGACCCACCAAACGTCGGTACTTCGTAGGATCATCGAGTAACAGACTCTCCACTAAGGCCAAACGATGATTTTGCTCTAACGGAGTTGGAGAAGGTCGAGAACCAAGAAGGCCACTCTCAGCAATAATGTCTAAAGCGCACTTACGCTGAGAAAGATATATACCTTCGGGGCCACGACTCACCTCAATACCAAGACAATACTTCAACTTACCCAAGTCTTTCATGTGAAAGCAACGACCAAGATAAGCTTTGAACTTCGTGAGCATGTAAGAGTCATTGCCAGTAATAACAAGATCATCCACGTAAACCAATATCCGAAGCTCGATTCCCTTGCGATTGAAAGAGAAAAGAGAATAATCTTCATAGAACTGAACAAATCCGAACTTAAGAAGGGCATTAGATAACTTTGCAAACCAGCATCTCGGTGCTTGCTTAAGACCATAGAGGGACTTGTGTAAGCGACACACTTTTCCAGGATGAGAATGACGAAAACCCGGGGGTAATTTCATGTAGACCTCTTCGGTTAAGTCACCATGAAAAAAAGCATTATGAACATCCATCTGGTGAACCTTCCATTGATTGGCAGCAACAATACGAAGTAATGTACGAACCATTGACATTTTGACCACCGGAGCAAACGTCTCATTGTAATCTTCACCAGCAACTTGATTGTTTCCTTGCACAACGAGACGAGCTTTGTAACGCTCAATTGTTCCATCCGCATGATATTTGATTTTGAAAACCCATTGACATCCGATAGCTTCTTTGCCAGGAGGTAATGTTTCAATACTCCAAGTGTTGAGTTGTTCAAGAGAGTCAACTTCAGAAGAGACTGCCTTATTCCATCGTGGATCTTGCATAGCCTCCTTAAAATTCTTGGGCTCAACAACCTCTGTAATAGCAGCAAGGAATGCACGATGGCGAGGAGAGAAGGAAGCATCAGAAACATAAGAATTGAGAGGATAAAGAACTGTACCTTGGACCGTAGAGGACTGAGATGTGGATGCTGAGAGAACGTGATGGGGGTCTTCAGATGCAACTGTATTGTAGAGGACGTAGTCACCGAGATAAGAAGGCAAGTTGCGATCACGTGGAGGACGTTCAATAGGAGCTTTTTCTGCAACATGCGGAGCTATTTTTGCAATACTCGGAGGAGAAACCTGACTTGGAGAGGACGTAACTTGATTTGGAGAGACAGTCTGACTTGGTGAGGAAGGTACTGGATTCGGAGAAGAGGGTACTGAAGACTCTGGATCCGAGGTAGCCAATGTTGGACTGTCGGGTAACGAAGGGAGTTGTTCCGAAGTTCCTGGATCCGGGATAACAGGAGAAACTTCAGAACTCCCCCTGTCACCAGAAACTGGTTGCACGAGCCAATCTTCATCAACAATGACTGGTGGAGATGGCCCAATCGAAGAGACAGAGCTTGGCTCACCAAAAGGAAAAATATCTTCGCGAAAAACTACATCGCGAGAGACAAAGAACTCGTTTCGGTTTCGATCATACACCTTCCAACCTTTTTTTCCAAAAGGATAGCCAACGAAAACACAAAGACGACTCTGTGGGCCAAACTTATCCTTGTCTCTTGCTGCATGATGAACAAAACAAGCGGAGCTAAAGACACGTAGCTGGTGATGATCTGGTGGATGACCATGAAGAACCTTAAACGGTGTACGACCACCATGAAGAGAAGATGGTGTCCGATTGATGAGGTATGCAGCTGTGAGAACGGCCTCTCCCCAAAATTTGATAGGCATACTTGCCTGAAACATAAGTGCACGAGATACATTGAGGATATGCCTGTGTTTTCTTTCAACCCGTCCGTTTTGCTGAGGGGTTGCTACGCATGAGGTCTGATGAAGAACACCATTTTCACGGAAGAAAGAGGAGAGACACATGAACTCTGTTCCATTGTCTGAACGTACTGACTTTACTGGTTTACCAAATTGCTTCTCCGTGTATGCAAAAAAATTAACCAACACACGACGAACTTCTGATTTTTCTAACAAAAGGTATGTCCATACGGCTCTAGAAAAATTATCGACGATAGTTAAAAAATAAACTGCTCCACAGGATAAAGGCACACGATAAGGGCCCCAAACATCAACATGAATAAGCTCAAAACACTCAACTGTTTTATTCAAACTTTCAGGAAACACCAAACGAGTTTGTTTTACTTTAAAGCACACATCACAAGAACTGGAAATCGCAGAATTTGAAAAACCAGAAAACAAAGGCAAAGACGAAAGCACTGAAAATGCCGGATATCCCAAACGTTGATGCCATAAAGCTTGATCCGAAATCTTAACTGCTCTATGAATTTTCACTGTGACAACATCTGTAAAGTAGTAAACCCTATCCCGTTCTTCACCGGCTCCAATCAAAGTCCTAGTAAAACAGTCCTGCAAAACACAGATTGTGTCAGTAAAGGTAGCGAAGCAATTTGTTTGCTTGAGAATCTTAGACACTGAAATTAAAGTGCAATTTAGTTCGGGAACGTATAACACGTCTTGGAGAGAGATCGTATCAGATAAGGGAAAAAACCCATGCTCACGGCAAGTGTCTTATTCCCATCGGCAAATCCCACGGAACAAGGTGCAATTGTCTCTACATTGGTTAAGAGGGAAAGGCTTTCTGTCATATGGTGCGAAGCACCAGTATCAATGATAACGTCACCCAAATCTTTCTTACCAGACAACTTATCGGCAGAACTTGCTTTCTCTTGAATCAACTGTGTAAGAGCTCTCCATTGATCGGGTGTGAAATCGGGGAACGAGGAAGCGTTGGAGGTTGTAGCATGTGCTGCTGTTGCTTGACCGCAACCACGACCAGAGCCACGACCTCCTCTGCCACGAGTGGACTGTGTGCCTCCTCTATTTTTATCAGTCCTCTCTGCAAACCACTCCGGGAACCCCACTAATTGCCAACAGGTTTGTTTCTCATGCCCTTTTCGACCACAATGAGAGCAGAGCATATGACGTGGCTGCTGAATAGAATCAGGACGACCTGCAATTTGGCTTTCTAGTGTCTTTTTCGCGGAAACCTGTCGAGCAACAAAACCAATAGCATCGTGTTGTTGTTCTTTCTTCCGAGCCGAATTCAATCTCTGTTCTTCACGAATGATCTTAGCATAAATTTCACCTAGATCTGGTGTCGGATCAGCGCTGATAATCTGAGTACAAACACTTCCAAACCGTGCATCATCAAGCCCCATGACGAACTGATGAATCTTCTCCGCTTCTCTTTCCTTTGCCATCGCAGCAGCGGCTCCACAGGAGCAGACATACACCAGACAATAAATTTGCAACTCTTCCCATAAAGTTGAGAGTTTACCAAAATATTCAAGCACACTTAGCCCCTCTTGACGACATGAGGCTAGTTGCGCCTTAATCTGGTGAATTCGCACTTTATTGCCCACCGAAAAACGTTGCTTGAGGCCAATCCATAGCTGATGTGCATCGGAGATGTATGTCACCGTAGATTTGACTTTAGGCTCGATGGAAGAGCGAATCCAGCCAACGATCATGGAGTTGACCGTCAACCAATCTTCTAAGTCAGGGCTGTCGCCTGCAGGTTTCTTCAAAGTACCATTGATGAATCCCATCTTGCGCTTTGCTTGAAGTGCGTTGAGCATCTCTGAAACCCATTCGTTGTAGTTTTCTCCATTTAACTGAACGGAGATGATCATGGCGCCGAGATTATCCGACCCATACAAAGAGTAAGGCGAGATCTGAGAGACCTCGTTACTGCTCTGGCCTGATGATTTCGTCACAGACGAAGGGGATGTATCATCGCCAGCGGACATCTTTCACGAGTTTATAGATTACGAGACTTGATAGAAAACAGAACCACGTAACTTGTGGAAGAAGAAAAGACGATGAAAGCAAGGAATTTTAAAGATTTTTGTTTGATTTGAGCTCTAATACCATGTTAAGTTATATGAGCTTCCAACTCAAAACCAATTGGCAATGAGTGGATTGGCCCAAGTCTTATATATATTAGTGTTAGTCCCTTTAAACTTCCGATGTGGGATTTCAACACGCTCCCTCGAGATGATGGCTCTTATCAGCCCATCTCGAACTGAATCCCACTTTAGGATCAGTAATAAACCCTTTTTGGGCCACCCTACTTGGATTAACAAACGAGGCTCTGATACCATGTAGAAGAAGGTAATGAACTGACTTCTGTATTAACATTCACGATCAAAGATATATATACATACATATGTCGGCTAACTTATGAATCTAGTCTAGGAAATTATCCTTAATATGAAAAAGATATTATACATATCTCTCTAGATTTACATATATCGGAATATATGATGTATATTCACAATACATATGCTCGATGGCTCGATCGAATATAGCATCGAGCTCGTGAGCACACACACGCATCTTCTTCACAAGCCCTTGAAGATCGAATATCGCTAGCCACGGAAAGAAATCCGAAACATTAGGCTCACCCAAAAGCCTAGTTATTTCAGAAATCACTCCTTTAAACTCTGTTCCAACACTCTCCATCTCCTCTTCTTTCACCGATCCACCCCATAACATATTCATCGTTAGATTCATCATCGTCAAAAACAACTGCTCTCCAACGTTCACCGGTGATCCTTGCTGACCTTGCTGGTACAAATATCTCGTTCTTTCCCTGATTTCTTTGCGTCGAAGCTCGTAGAAAGAATCCAAAGTTTTGCGGCTAAGAAGCTTGAGAACACAAACTTTTCTAAGCATCCTCCATTCCGCCCCGTATGGTAACCATACGAGGTCGAGGCCACCATAGGTAAGGACTCGAGCCGTGAGAGGGACGTCATGGTTTGAGAAGTTGATGTCTTGATCTTTCAGGATCTCTCAGGCCAGAGATGGAGAGTTGACCACAACGGTTAGTTTTGAGCCGAGATTGAGTTTGAAGATTGGCCCGTGTTCTTGAGCGAGGCTTGTGAAGTAGGTGTGAAGCTCCGGATCAAGAAACGGGAGGTTTCCGACAATCAGTAGCCCTCGCGGTCCTGGCGGCAGAGGCGGTTGCGATTGGCGTTTGAAAAGGTACCAGAGAATCGAGAAGATAGCGGTGATGATGAGAATTGCGAAAGGAGTGAGATTAATTGTGTTGTCGAGGGAGAGATTTGAAATCGGTGGCATTTTTTTTACAGCTGTTTGTAGGAACAGTGAGATTGACAAAAGCTGTTGTATATATAATCAATACAACAATAACCCTTGTGTCTTTCCATAGTTTGACACATCAGCTTTTTCAAATTTTCTAAAGCTAACACTTCAGTAAAAAAATTCACCAATCAAAACATTTATATAATACACATCATATTATTTTATATACTGATTTTTGTTATTTTTTTACTAAATTCATTTATCCAAACCCAAACAAATGATATTCTTTAAAAGCCCAAAACAAGTAGACATTTTTTTTTGTTCAAAATAAATTACAAAACAGTATATATATATATATATATATATATATAATTGAAGGTTTGCATATTATATATTTTATTGTTGCAAAATAACTGAAATGTTCATATTATTTTTGATTAAAAGATAAACTATTTCATGTTTGTTGCGAGAGCCGTGCCTACCATGTTATGAAAAATGCATTTGCCTTATGTTTTAAAGATAATAAATAATTTTGAGACTCTAATTCCTAAAAAACAATAATAATATAATAGTAAAAACATGGTTAAAATTTGTTATTTTGAGATTCCACTCCTAAGTTCAAAACCAACCACCATAATAAAATAAATGTTATTTTTTTTAATAAGTCCCATTCATTTTTTTTCTGTTGGCACTTTAACGAAATTTTTGAAAAAAAATATTAAAATTACTGTTTAATAATATATAAAAGATAATTATTTGATTTTTGCCTCATGTTCTCATAAGCATTGGCACGACACTATTTGGTGCTTATACTTATTAACAATATCATTTTTAATTATCAAATTTAAATTAGGTATGCATTTCTTTAATTATTTCGTTAAGAAGAGAATTTTTCAACTTCGGAATATATGAAGTATTTCTAATATTACCACGCATGTGTATGGTGAATTAATTTTTTATTCTGGATAAAATAAAACCAATCTCAAACTTCTTTCTTCTCTTATTTTCTTTCTATTTACTAGAGTTTCCTGCTCCTAAAAACAAATCCACCTTAAATAATGCTATCTTGAAAACTATCTTCAGTTTTTTTGGTTAAAACTTTTGGATCTTTAATTTACAATAAATTGTAGAATCAAATATGAATAATTTTTAAAAATGTAAAACAAATACTCTATGTGCAAATGAATCTGGTAAATAATAATTTAAAGTTTCAGCAACAACTGTAGAAAATGATTGGCTTTAGTTAATCTATGAGCTATTGACTATTATAGAAATTAAAGTACATATTTGATCCGTTTTATGTTTTTCTTACTTATCAATTTAAACTATGATCTGGTTATTTTAGTAGTAGTATCAATTTAATATTCCCTCTATTTTTTATATGATGTTTTAAAGGTTTTTTGTTTTAAATTATATGATGTTTTCAGAAATGTATAAAAAAATGATGCTAAATAACTTTTTTATCCTTATATTAATTAATAAATGAAAACTTAATTGATAATAAATTAGGTTACAGATTTATTGTACTAGATTTTTTAATTTATATAATCTTAAAATATTCTATACAAAAATGGAGAAAGTGTGTTTTTTTAAGATATTTATTTTTCAGTTTTGGGTTTTTAATATTTTTCTCATCAAACATATTTTATAATCTTTTATCATTAAGTTACTATGTTAGAAGGCGAGAAAGTGAAGGAGAAATTGTAGAGAAGAAAGTCAGTTTGCTTTAAACCAATGCAGCTAATCAAAGCTAAGGATTGGCTTCATATGATAGCATCCTGAATGAAAAGATGTATGATCAGTTAAAATTTAAGGTGATCTTGGTTCATTTGAATTTTGAGCCAATAGAACATGTTAATATGTTAGCAATATACTTGAATTTGATTAGTTAATAGAAACTTACATTAATTTGTATTTACAATTTTATATCTTGCATATAATCACAAAAAGGAAAAAAAAATTGAATTTTAGTCTAAAATTTATTGGATTAATCAAAAATAATATAATCATAATTACGATAATAAATTACACGAGCACCATATCGCATTCTTTCTTGGTTACGCCTAATTATAACATATATAAAAAGTGTTCAAAAAACTTTAAAAAAAAAAACACAAACTGAAAATAAATAAAAAATGTCAGTAACACAAATAAATAATACTAATTACTTCATATTTTTGTAATTATGTTTGACACGAAAATGAAATTTTTCGGTTTCGACAGGAAAATGCGATTTTTTTGGTTTTGCAGGAAAATGAAATTTTTTGGTTTTGATTGAAAAAATGAAATTTCTTGGGAAAACAAAAATTCTCGATTTTGACAGAAAAAATGATTTTCCGGTTTTGATGGGAAAATCAAAGTTCTCGGTTTTACGGGAAAAGACAATTTTCTGTTTTGGCAGGAAAATGATATTTCTCGATTCTGATGGGAAAGAGAAAATTTTCAGTTATGATAGAAAAACAAAATTTTCTAGGTTGTGACGGAAAATGCGATTTTTTGATTTTGATGAGAAATGTAATTTCTCGATTTTTGATGGATAATATGATATCTCAATTTTTATGTAAAACATAACTTCTTGGTTTTGGCAGAAAAAAGTAATTTGACGGTTTTGACAGGAAAATAAACTTTTCCGATTTGACGGAATAATGACATTTCTCGGCTTGAGCAGGAAACTACAATTTTTTTTGTTTTGGTGTAATAATGTGATTTCTCAATTTTTGATGGATAATTCTCATAAATTTGTCTAAATTTTGAAAAATCATACAGATAATTTATCTGAATGTGTTTTGATTTTGTTACAAAACTAACTAAATTGTCATTTTTATTCAAAAAAAAAACTATCTAGATAGAGAAACAATCAAGGCACAAATTGCTAAATATAAAATTAATATAATATTTATTTATACTATAAAAATAATTTTTTATTTTTAAAATATATAAAATTCAGAATTATATCCCGCAGCATAATACGGGTAATAACCTAGTAACAAAATAATAGGGAAACCCAATACAATCCTCAGTGGAGAATAGAGATGATAACAATTGAGCGGATACTATATACCCTACATTATTTTTAAAATGAAAAATGAAAAAATTGCTGAAAATTTGAAAATACCTCTCTACAAGTGGACCCAAATGCTGAAAATTTGAAGCCATAAAAAAGAAAATATCTGCGTGGACCTAATCAAGAAAGAGTTTGTGACTTTGTGTAGTAGTTGATAATGATACACAATATCAAAGATCTTAAGGAACTAAAAACCAATCGTGAAATATTTTATCCATGCCTGCATCGTGAAATACAATTTCTTATGCTATAATATATATGTAACTATACTCAGAGCCGTGCCTAAGCATTTGGATGCCGTAGGCCAAATATATATATATATATATATATATTAAAATGTTATATTTATATAATAATATATGAAATAGTTATATTTATTTTTGAAACATAATATTAACTAAAAATTTACAAAAACATATATCTTAAATCATTTGTTTAATATAAAAAATATAATACAAAAGAGACTGTATTGTATATAACATATTTTTAAATTTTTAACTAAACTTAAAAATTTAAAGAACAGAATATTAAAAACAAAAAAAATTGGTGAAATTTTAGAAAGAAACAATAGCTAACATGGTAAAAATGGGAAAAAGAAATGAATATGTGGTTATATAAATACTATAAAGAACAAAAATTAAGAGCTTAAAAATATAAACCTAATAGCTAATGTATTAATTGACTTTCAGTTTTTAAATTTTTGTTATAAAAAGAGTCTTGAGATATTAGTGTGATCATCAGTACACAGAAATAGAAACTTAACAGTTTTCATATCATAATAATATATTTAAATTTACTTCCTAAAAATTGTATAAAAATTATATGACATAGGCGAAACCATAAATTTACTTTATAAGTTTTACATAAAAAATTGAGTGACGTAGGCGAATGTTTCTTTATTTGTTAAGTAGGCACAGTCCTGATTATACTAGGCCTTTTTCTATATTTTTTACGAGGAGTTGAAGTCGAATGTACTTATTCAAAAATCTTGTAGAGATGAAAATGCTATAGTATTTATATATATGGGAAATTTAGTCAAATACGGAAATACTCCTATATACAAGGCATTTAAAGAGTGACAGTAACTTCGTCACGAGTTTAACAAACTGATCTCTACGACTCCACCACTAGAATTTGAGGCTATTTTCTGACAAATGGTTTTGAAATATAGTTTAATAGACTCCGTTGAAAATTAAAACCATTAGAAAGTTGTGACAAACACATTTTCCTAATGTTTTATTTATTTGGACAAGCACATCTTCCTAATGTTTTGTTTATTTGGACAAACACATCTTCCTAATTAAATAAGATAGTAGGTGGCTGTCCGCACATATGTACAGGTATAATTTTTTTTTATATACATAGTTAATTATAATATTTAAATATTAATTAGTTTTTTTAAACATTGGTCTGTTTGTATATATATTGTTTTAATATTTCACAAACTTCTTTCTGAAACTAATGTATTTTAAAAACTTTATTTTTATAATGCTTATAATAATATATAATCACAAATATAAAAGTTATGTCAAATAATAATTAAATTTTTATAATTTTTTTTGAATATTTCTATAATATGCTTTATTTCTCCTTACACAATCTACAATATATTTTTTTGCGTCTTACATAATATGAATTTACAAATACATATATAATATATTTTAAGTATATATTTGTCTTGATTTATTGCAAATTAAACTGAAATAGTTTTTACCATTTTTACTTATTCTTAAGAGCGGATAGATGGTTCGCACGCATGTGCGGACATACCAACCACTTCACTACACTTAGAATTGATAAATATTTTTTAAAATATAAATTATATAATAATTAAAAT